TGTGCTGCTATAAACATAGGCACACATATATACCTATGATATGATGTTTTCAGATCCTCTGGGAAAATTCCCAGTGGAGGAATAGCTGGTTTAAATGGGATTTCCAGTCCAAGTTTTCTAAGGAGTCTCCACACTGATTTCTATAACGGTTGCACCAGTCTACATTCCCACCAGCAGTAGAGAAGGGTTATGCTTTGATTTGAATCTTCCTTCACCAATTATTTAATATTTCTGTGGTGTCATTTTTATAGTTAGTACTTTTAAAGCTAATTTTGGTTTTGACTAAGCTCAAAATTACTAATGTAGTTTGAGATACACAAAGTACAGATGTCACCGTCTCTTTTTCCTCTTTGTTTTGTGATTTAAAGGCTAGAATTACATTATGCAGTAGAACCATTAGCTATTTTTGGCTGTCAATTAAATGGATTAGAATTAAGAAAAATTTCAGATTTATTGTTTTTATTACCCTAACCCATGTCAGGTTCTCACTAGTCCATGTAGCTAGTGACTGTCAGGAGACAGTACAGATCAGCAGCATTTATGTCATTGCCAAGAGGGCTGTCAGATGGTGCTGGTCTAGTGTCTGTGTGCTACATGTTAAAGACTAAGCCGACTCCCAGGCACCCTTGCAGCTTAGTGTCAAATGATTTTTGTGTTTCTGGTTGTGGGTTTGCGAAGCTCTTAACTTATCTATACAGTTAAAGACATATTTCTTTCTCTGTCAATGTGCTTCTACTTATATGTGATTCTGTCTTGTAAGGAAGTTGAAATTCATATAAGAGGTAGCATGTGCTTCTGATTACCTTTCAAAACTTGATGAAAATTTTCTAGTCAGGTAATTAGTATATATGCATATTCTTGTATCATGATAATCTAAACTGATTTTTTTTCAAAATTATTCCTAGATAACCCACAGGATGGCATTGTGATAAAGCTAGTTGTCAGCTTGTTGCAGTTATCAAAGATGGCTGTAAACCACACTGGTGAAAAAGAAGTTTTAGGTAAACTGTGTAGTTGAGTATGTGAGTTTTTCATGTGTAAATGGTGATCTTTCTAATATCCTCAAATAAATAAAGTTTTATCATTTTAGATGTTGAAGAAATATGAGATTCTAGCTAAGTTACATCTTTGTTTAATTCAGGTACCCCAAGCATTCTCCTTTCATAGTTTTCTTATTTATAAAATGAAAAGTTAGCAGTTTATATCTTTGAATAACTGTTGATTTAAAAATGCCTTCTAATTATTTGGAAAGTCAGAACTACCTATTCATAGAGTTGAGTTACAATTAAAGAGATCTCTGAAATAGTTTATAAATATTATTGGCTAGTATTCAGTATCTTTTTTTAAGCTTTTTTTTCAATATCTTTTTTAAATAACAAATAAAAATGAGGACTTGAAGGGCTATGTTAAGCTCAGTATTAAAAAGCATTTTAAGTTTTTTCCGA